GCCGCAGCGGCAGCAGCTTCAGCTGCGGTAGACAATGCGTTAGGGCAGAGCGTTGCCCCTCAGCTCCCCGGCATGAACGTGAGGGCAGGGCCGCATCACCCACCACTGGTGAGGCACACAGGGAGTGAGCAGGGCCAGCTCTTCACCACCCCTCTCTACCACACTGTCAACCCATTTCGTAACAGCCAGCGACCTGGGTCAGCATGCCTACGTATCTCTCGGACCCAACTCCTTGCCCCTGAGCCCAACCGCCCCATCTCCCACTGCTCCCAGTTCACGTAGGAGCTGATGGACACCCTCTCTCCAGCGAGTACAGGAGCAAGCCAGCCTCCTCCTACCCCAAGGGTGAAGCACAGTAGTAACAGCCATGGTAAATGCCCCAGAGGAGCCCATCACCAGAGCACTGACTGTGGCCAAACACTGTGACTAGCCCAGACGCAGCTCTGTGCTCCAAGCCAGTGCCTCTCCTCTGATCACGCTCCACCGCCGCTCCCAGACTGAACAGTTATTTCTAGTTCCCACCAAGAGGTGCCTCCGCTCTTCTCCCAGTCCCAGCTCCCTGGGTAAAACCCCTGCCAAATCACCACAGGGGGACTTTGAGGGTCTGTGCCAGCCACAAGTGAAGCCATGAGCCAACTTAGCTCTGCCCCAGGCTCCAAAGCAGCCACTAACTCCAGGGATCAGCTCAGTGTATCCAGCAATCAGCATCTGGCAAAGCTGTGCCTGCCTGTGGGTTATTTTTGCCCAAACATTCAACACCAGTTGCTAATTTGAGGTGATCATGGGGCCTAAGGTCCCTCGCTGACACAGAGCTCGCCACCCGCTGAGCTTCTGAGCAGTCTGCTCTCCTCCATGGGGTGTGTGGGCTCCCTGGCATGCTAGAGCCACAGCCCCCTCCAGCAATCCCCCAGCCGGGAGCTGAGCTGAGCCCGGCTCAACAGGACAGGGCTGGTGTCAGGAGGCAGCTGGAAAGGTCAGCCGGCACCTCTCGTCACCTGCACGTCCTGTCCCACAGCCTCTGACAGGCATCTGCCTGCTCAGCTTCCGGTGACCCCACCAGGACACCCCCGTGATCCCAGTTCCCACACCCTCACCGCATTCCCAAGCTGAGGAAGACCCCGAGGCCCCCTTGCCCAGGCGTGAGGCTCTGACCTGCGTGTGCATAATGACACGAATGACCTTGCAGTACTTTTTCATAGCCGCAAAATCCTTCTCCAGCTGCTTTTTGCCGTCCTCATCCTGCCATTTTTTGCAGTACTTGGTGAAAGCCTTCTTCTTGCTCTTGTGCCTACGACAAAAGCGTTTTGCATCCAGCAGAGCTGAATGGTGAAGCACTTCTGCACTTCACTGTGCCCCGAGACGGCGCGGTGTGAGGGCACAGATCACCCCCCCAGGCACTTCCCCGGAGGCACAAGGTACGTGTGGGTACCCAAACGTCACCTGGCTGCCAGGGCCATGACACGGGGCTTTGAGGTGGGAGGAGGAAAGTGAATAATGAGCTGCAAAAATAAAAAAAAGGGCTGGTAATTCAAACCTTTTTGCATGAGGAATCCAGTTGTCTCCCACTGACTGGCTTGGTGCCATCAAGATACAAGCACAAAATCCGAGCTATGTGGAGAAGGGAGAAAACAGCCTCCGACAGGGATCAGAGGCATGTGGTGGGTGGATTTCAATGGCACTTTCACAGGAGACACGATTCCTCCAGTTACAAAAAACGTGTTCCCATTTGCCTCTCTGCTGGTGTGGGATTTGGGGTGTTGATGTTTACAAGGGCCGGGGGTCACATTCGGCATCAATTTTTCCCCTGGCAAATCTGGGTTTATTCCCTTCATTTGGTGCCTCAGCTCAAGTATTCCAGATTAATGGGGAGTAGATGGGCCCGACCTACACAGAGGAAAACGATCCCACAGCATGCGCTGCCATATGATATTGTGGAGAGAGCTAACTTAGTTGAACTATTAGAATAAATTTGCATATGCATGTGCTGATTCCCAGCACCAAGCTGTTTGCAGTAGCTCTGTGCATGACTAAATAAACAGCTGTTTCACTCCGCCCCAGAGCCAGCTGCCGGTAGCTGAGCTGTTTGCAATGGCTCGGCATCCCAGAGAGCCCGCGGGGAAGACCTGCAGTGCCCCAGGACCCCCACGCCCTGCCACACGGGCACATACCAGTTCTTGTAGAAGCGCCGCCTGCACTCGTCGCTGATGTGCTCAGCAAAAACAGTCTTGAAATTCCTCAAGCCCTTTGGCGTTTCTATGTACCCCACGACCCCCACCACCACCATCGGGGGGGTCTCGATGATGGTCACAGCCTCCACCTCCTCCCTTTTGGAGACCTCTGCAAGACAGCAAAGGGAAACGGTACTCCGCATTGTCTAGGATCAGATCATTCCCTGGAGCTACTCGTGGCCCACACAGCTACGGCGAGCAAGCAAGGTGCCGGGGGCAAGGTTGCATTCTGCTCTGCCAGCCAGGCTCAGCCCTTCCAATCTCCCAGGGCCCAAGCCCTGCTGCAGGACCATGATCACCAGACCCCGAGCAGGTCAGACCCTGTGGCCCAGCACCATTTAACATATCATCCCCAAACTGGGGGAAGCAGTACATTGTGTGGTTCTTGCCCCGGAGTTTGGCCCCAATCCTGTGGGCATCCCAGAGGGTAGTATTATAAACTTCCCCAGCAAGACGTTGCAAGCCCAGGGTTTCTCAGGTAGCTACCCTGCAGGGTCCTTCCGCCAGCAGGATCCGACAAACCACGAGTCACCATACTGGTGTGGGGACTTCCCAGGAAACCCCAGACTCAGCTCACGCGGAACGTGAGGTGGCCTTTGGCCATCCAAGCTCCGGATGGCACTACAGGAGATAGCCTGGAAGCTATGTGCTCCACCTCCCACTCCCAGGAGCAGCCTTTCCCACCAAGTCTCTTCACTCATTTCCCTCCTGGATGTGCTTCCCCGCTTCCCTCAGCCAAGCCTTACTGAGCCCAGGCCTGTGCACCTCCCGCACAGTGTGTGTCATGCCGGCTTTGTAGCCCAGGAAAGCTGTTAGGTGGACTGGTTTGCTGGGATCATCCTTAGGCCACGTCTTCACCTTCCCTCGGTGGCGACGGCTTCTCTTGTGGGGGAGGAAGCCCAGGTGGCCATGCCTGGGAGCAGAGAACTTGCGGTGGGACTGTGGAGAAGAAGAACAAAAGATCAGCTTCACTTTCAGGTCCCAGAACATGTCAGGATCCAAAGCACAGAAGGAAATCTCCCATTTAACATCAGTGAATGCTGGAGGGATTCTGGACTCTTCCTCAATTCCAACACAAGAAAAAGAACTCCTAAAAGGAAGGTATTTTGTTTAAGCTTCCATCATATGCATTGAAGAATTTAGGTTTCTGGACAAATGATGCTGATTAACTAAAATCTTGAACATGATCTACCTCCTTCTGCTTGAGACCTCTGAAGGAGAAATATGTTCTTTAATAAGTCTGCCCTACTGTGATGTTAATTATAATGACTTATTTTGTATTCTACAGCACCAAAAGGGCTTGCTCAGGATTCATGGGATTCATGTCATCAAGGCAAATGGCACCAAACAAACACAGAAATGGGAAAGGATGCCCAAAGGAATCAGTAATAAGAACATGTGCAGGTTAAATTTGCACCTTGAAAGCCAAATTAGAAGAGAGCTAAATATATAACCCCCCTGTTCACAAGGTTACGCTGAGCCAGGCAGGGAGAAAGCAACAGCACCGTAGAGACACGGACAAGTTCTCACTCAATTGGCTTCACAGCAGGGAAACTGGGGGTCAGCCCAAGCAGCAAAGGGTTAGTTCTACATCCACTGCAGCTCCTGCCCTGCTAAGCTCGGTCGCGGCAGCTGGCTGCACTTTCCACAAGCTTATTTTCCAGCCCAAGGGGAGCTCTGCTGCGTTCGACCCCATCTCAGCCGCAGTAACGTCGCCGGTAAGCCAGCCCTCGGCACACAATCGAAAGGTAGCAGCTTTACAAACCATGGGACGTCTTCAGCCCAGGTCAGCCACAGGAGGAGGCTATCACTAAGTGCCTCCCCTGTCTAATACTTGAGATGGTTATCGGTCTGAAGTCACAAATTTAGCTACTAGCTTCACCCGCTGCTATATTCATTTCCTACTCGGCCAAGCTGGCAGGTTGGACCTAACAGTTGCGGCGTGATAAAGGTCAGTTGCCGGTGTCTCAGTTTACACTTCTCCCTCCCAAACAACTTGAACGCGGGCGGCAGCAATTAGCATTGCTGGCTAACGGGGCCCCGCACCCCACGGGCTGTGAGCGCCCGCCCCGGGCACCCCGAGCTGGGTGCAGCCAGCTGCTCTGGGCAGAGACAGACTGAAGACCCCCTCATCAGCCCAGGGATGAACGAGGCCGCGGTTCTGACCGGAGCAGAGGTGAGTGCGATAGCTGCGGTCGTGAGGAGGCT